CCCTCCTAACCCCACCCCTCCCGAAACACCCTCCCCCCCTCCCAGGAGGGGGGGTCAAAACCCACCCCACCTCGGCGCCGGCGCCGACGCCGGCGCTAGCGGCCGCCAGCAGCGCCCACGGCGGGGACGCGGCGACGCTGCACCACCACAGCCAACACCACCACAACCACCACCACCACTCACCATCACCACCACCACCACAACAACGTCCACAAACCACCGCCACCACACAACCCACCACCACCACCACCACCACAAACCACCACCACACCACCACAACCACCACCACCTCGGATGCCCCAGTCGCCCGAGACATCCTCGGAGAACGACCCGAGTCCCAAAACCGTGCGTTGACCCCTAATCCCCACCGGCTCACCGCACGATGTGGTCACCACCCCTTTTGGGGAACCCCGAAATCGACGAGGAGGAGATCCCAACCGGCACGCGTGTAGGACCGCATGCTCGGAGACCGTCGGATGGAAACAGGGCGCGTCGAACACTGCGGCGGTGCGAAGTGCAGCGAGGCGGCGAGCGCGCAACCCACGCGGCCAGTGCGCCGGAGCGGAAAAAAGGCGTGCACCGCGGACCGAGCGGAAAAAAGGCGTGCACCTAAACGTTTTTACCTAACAGCGAAGACTGATAGGTTTCTAGTGGTGTCAAAAAAGAGCAGCAGATGACTCCACAGGGGGGTCCGGGCGGGACCCGGGGCGGCTGCCGCCGAAGCCCAAATCGCCTGGGACATCCTCGCAAAATCGCTCTTGGCGCTGCTAGAACTCCATTCCCGGCGTACATTTTGGATGCCCGGAGCCAACTGTAGGCCACTTCGTGGTCTTCGAATTCCCAGAACTCCATTCCCGGCGTACATTTTGGATGCCCGGAGCCAACTGTAGGCCACTTCGTGGTCTTCGAGTTCCCAGAACTCCATTCCCGGGCCACATTTTGGATGCCCGGAGCCAACTGTAGGCCACTTCGTGGTCTTCGAGTTTCCAGAACTCCATTCCCGGGCCACATTTTGGGTGCCCGGAGCCAACTGTAGGCCACTTCGTGGTCTTCGAATTCCCAGAACTCCACTCACTCCCGGGCCACATTTTGGATGCCCGGAGGCTGAGGCGCTGAGGCTGAGGCTGACGCTGAGGCTGAGGCTGAGGCTGACGCTGAGGCAGGCTGAGGCAGACGCTGAAGCCGGCTGATGCTCAGGCAGGCTGAGGCTGAGGCTGAGGCTGAGGCAGGCTGAGGCAGGCTGAGGCTGAGGCCGAGGCTGAAGGCAGACTGAGGCTGAGGCTGAGGCAGGCTGAGGCTGAGGCTGAAGGCTGAGGCTGAGGCTGAGGCTGATGCAGGCTGAGGCTGAGGCTGAGGCAGGCTGAGGCTGAGGCAGGCTGAGGCTGAGGCTGAGGCTGCGAGGCAGGCTGAGGCAGCAGGCTGAGGCTGAGGCAGGCTGAGGCTGAGGCTGAGGCTGATGCAGGCTGAGGGCCGAGGCAGGCTGAGGCCGCAGGAGTGATGCGGGAGCTGAGCAGGCTGAGGCTGAGGCAGGCTGAGGCTGAGGCTGAGGCTGATGCAGGCTGAGGCTGAGGCAGGCTGAGGCTGAGGCCGAGGCTGAAGGCAGACTGAGGCTGAGGCTGAAGCTGGCTGAGGATGAGGCCGAGGCAGGCTGAGGCTGAAACAGAGGCAGGCTGATGCTGAGGCAGGCCGAGGCTGAGGCTGTGACTGTGACTGCCGTTGCCGCTGCGACTGTCATCGCGAATGCGACTGCGACTGCGAGAACAGCAGAATTCTACAACTGGATTCTGATCTGAATCTTAAGGGGAATGCTTCCAGATATGTTTCTAGACATCGCTGTTAGGTTGCTTTGCCGGGATAATTTGTTGGTTTCGTTTTGTCGTTAGTTTTGCTCCGCCTGTTGTTCTGTACCTCCCTGCCAAAACTAGAAACAAAACACAGCCGGAGTCCAGCACAACAGCGTTTAGGTCCAGCCCTGGTGCAACCAGGTCCCGATGGGGGAGGGCCGACAAGCAGAGACCCGCAGAAGAGGCAGCCAAGCGTACCGAGGCAAGGTGCGCCGGCGGCACAGCAAGACCACGACGACCGCGACCATGACCACGACAGTGGACTACGGCGAAGACGCCGACGACAGCAGCCACGACGACGACGGTGTCCTCCTCCTCCTCCTCCTCCGGCTCCTCCTCGACCCCCACGACCTCGACACGACGGTGGCGTCGACGACAGCAACATCGACGACGACGACGACGACGACGACGACGACGACGACGGCGACGGCGACGGCGGCGGCGGCGGCGGCGGCGACGACCGACGTCGTCAGAGGCGGCGGCGGCGAGGCCGCCTCGGCGTGGAGTCGTCGGGGCTGGCCTGGCCGGCGGCCTCCGCCATCCCACCCGCGGTCGGCAGGTCTGGCGGGCCTGCGCGGGCTGAGTCTCGCCATGAAGCATGGTGGGCCTGTTTTTCCACCACCACCACCACCACCACCACCATGAGTTGGAGGGGGAGGGGGTCCTCCTCATCCTCCTCCTCATCTTCCTCCTCTTCGTCCTCCTCCTCCTCCTCGCCCTCCTCCTCCTCCTTCCCGCCATCCAACTTATGGTGGTGGTGGAAACAAGCCCATCAAAACAAACGGGTCTTGAGGGAACGGCCCCCGTCGCGAGCCCGCGCGCCATCGCGCGCTCCCGCGCGCTCCCGTGCGCGCGCCCGCGCGCGTCCACGCGCGCCCGCAGGCGCCCATGTGCGCCCGTGCGTGCTCGCGTGCGCCCCTGCGCGCGCACGCCCGCACGCGCCTACCCGTCCCCGCGCGCGCCCGGGTCCTGAGGCTTGTCGCAGTTGTCGGGCTCTCGGGGCCCTCCACGGGCCCTGGGACTGTCAAAAGCAGACGCAGGGTGAAGAACTGCTCCTCCTGGGGAGAGGCCCGGGGATCCAGGACCCGTTTCCCTCGGATGCGTTTCCCTCATGCGTCGTCGCCGTTGCGGGCCCCTGCAAGACGTTTCGGGTCGCGGGACTGTCGGAAATAGATCCTCGATGGCAGACTGACCAGGGTGGACACCTGGAGACGTCTGGGCCTCGATTTTCAGCGGACGTCGGCGCTTTCCGGAGGGACAGGACGAGGCGCAAGAGGGGGCGGCTGTGACGACGTCATCAGCAGCTCAAAAGATTTCTGAGCGTTCCTTGAGGTCCTGATCGCCACAGTTCCTCGGAAAACAAGCCACAGCGACCATGGGGGGGTCTGGGAGCAGATTCTGGGTGGTTTTAAGCCGGACGGTGAGGATGGCGACAACGGCTACGTCTGCGACGGCGGAGACGGCGGCGGCGGCGACAACGGCGACGGCGATGACCCTCGAGGATCGTTCGAGGATCGAAGCCATTGGCATTTTCGAACAACTTCTGGGTCCCCTGGGACCTCATACCCAGGCTAGATCCCACCCTGGCAAAAAACCGGGAGTCAATGTTTGACCCCCAGACCAGGCCTCTGGGCGTCGACGGCGACGAAGACGACAGCAGGGACGACGGTGGAGGAAAACGACGGCGGCGACGGCGGCGGCGACGATGGCGAAAGCGGCGGCGGCGGCGGGGTCGACGGGCCAGCGCAGGGGGCAAGGCTGGCGTTCGCTGGTCGCTGGTCTCTGGTCGTTGTCATCGCGGTCGCTGGTGCCTGGTCGCTGGTCGTGGTCGTCGTGGACGCTGGTCGCTTCGCTGGCCGTGTTCGTCGTCGTGGTCGCTGATCGTGGTCGCTGCAGCGTCGCTGGTCGCTGAGCGTCGGCCGTCGTCGGTGGTCGTTGGTCGCTGGTGCCAGGATCAAGAATCGAGGTTCGAGGCTGAAATGTGTGCATGGTTTGGGGTACTGTTGGATCTTTCTTGGCCTCTGAAAGCCTCCAGTGACAAGGTACCCCCAGAGACCTCCAGAAAGCCCGATGGTCCAATGGTAGACGACCTCGCGGGCGTCGCCAATATAGGCCCAGTCTGCTGGTCGTCGTATCTCATGCCGTCCCCCAGTCCCCTGGCCTCCCTCACTCCATCATCGCTCTCCCTCTCTGAGCTGGCTCCCTCCCCCCTCCCGACAGCAGGATGGACGAGGGAGGAGAATGACGTTGGAAGGAGGAAAAGGAGGAGGAGAAAGAGGAGTGATATAGTTTAAAGGACAAGGTCCCTGCCTCTGTCTCTAGCCCTGTCTCTGTGTCTCGGCCTGCACCCTCTCCCTCCCTTCACCCACCCAACCCTCCCTGAACCCACTATCCCACACACATCCTTCTCTCCCACCATCCGCCCCGTCACCCATCCCCTGTCCCCCCTCCCCCCTTCTTCCTCCTCCTCCTCCTCATCTTCCTACCGCCGCCGCCGCCGCCGCCACCGCCGCCTCCGCCTCCGCCTCCGCCTCTCCTCCCTCCTCCGCTTTCCCATCTGTTCCACATCCTTCTGCCTCATAGACAATTCCGCTTAATTTGAACACCAGACGTGTCGGTAGGGTTGGGCGAGCATTTCGCATGAAACTGCCTCCCCACGTATACCCGAGGCTTGTATTGCAGCATCGTCGATGCATATTGGATCTACTCTGGATCTCCTCCGCCTCCTCGACCTCCACGGCCCCCTCATCCCCTATCAAGGGTGCGACCAGCGGCCACGTGTGGCAGCATGGTCGGTGCCACTCATCCTGCAGCACGCGAACGTAGGATGGCGTGTGGAAAGAGGACCGCCTTTTTTTGCATAAGCCCGAATCAATTGGCAAGTGCCCTGTGTGGTCAGCATGATCCCGTGCTCCACCGCAGTATTGCACAGCGTGCGAGACCACGCGCGCCGAATCCCTCCCATAAGAGATGTAGTACGCGGCGAGCGCGGCGATCTGGACCAGGATCATTCCCAACCATCTTGCGGTGGTGGACACTCGTTTTGAAGAGACGGCGCCCCGCGTCTCCTCTCCTCTCCTCTCCTCTTTCCAATGGCTCTCTCATTGCTCCTTTCAATAGATGATTGTACATTTCTCTCATCTCCTACTCCCTCCTCCCTCCTCCTCCTCCGGCCCCTGCCTCTGCTCTGCATGTCCACTATTTCAGCGCAGCCCGGAATGGCGTTTCGTGACCCCATAGGGACCTCCACCCAAGGACTCAGTGGATGTGATCACATGCGTCCCGCGCCACCCAGTACGGCGCGTCGTGGACCCATACGGAGCTCCACTGTACGCCCCACTGGCTCTGATCACATGAGTTCCGCGCCACCAACTACGACGTTCCGTGGCCCCATAGGGACCTCCACCGAGGGCCCAAGCGGCTGCGATCACATGCGTCCCGCGACACCCAGTACGGCGCTTCGTGGCCCCAGAGGTGGCCCCACCGAAGGCCCCAGTGGCTGTGATCACATGCGTCCCGCGCCACCCAGTACGGCGCTTCGTGGACCCATACGGAGCTCCACCGTACGCCCCACTGGATCTGATCACATGAGTTCCGCGCCACCAACTACGACGTTCCGTGGCCTCATAGGGACCTCCACCGAAGGCCCGAGCGGCTGCGATCACATGCGCCCCGCGACACCCTGTGCGGCGCTTCGTGGCCCCATAGGGACCTCCACCGAAGGCCCGACTGGTTGTGATCGCATGCGCCCCGCGCCTCCCATTACGGCGCTTCGTGGTCCCATAGGGACCTCCACCGAAGGCCTAAGCGGCTGTGATCACATGCGTCCCGCGCCACCGAGTACGGTGCTTCGTGGCCCCATAGGTGGCTCCACCGAAGGCCGCAGTGGCTCTGATCACCTGCGCCCCGCGCAACACAGGACGGCGCTTCGTGGCTACATAGGGACCTCCACCGAAGGCCCCAGTGGCTGTGATCACATGCGTCCCGCGCCTCCCAGTACGGCGCTTCGCGGCCCCATAGGTGGCTCCACCGAAGGCCGCACTGGCTATGACTACAAGCGCCCCGCGCCTCCCATTACGGCGCTTCGTGGCCCCATGGGGACCTCCACCAAAGGCCCAAGCGGCTGTGATCACATGCGTCCCGCGCCACCCAGCACGGCACGTCGTGGCCCCATAGGTGGCTCCACCGAAGGCCCCAGTGGCTGTGATCACATGCGTCCCACGCCACCCAGTACGGCGCTTCGCGGCCCCATAGAGAGCTCCACCGTACGCCCCACTGGCTCTGATCACATGAGTTCCGCGCCACCCAGCACGGCGCTTCGTGGCCCCATAGGGACCTCCACCGAAAGCCCAAGCGGCTGTGATCACATGCGTCCTGCGCCCCTCCGCTTTTTTCCGCCATAGCACTCACGCGTTTCTTGGCCCCATACGGAGCTCCACCGAAAGCCCCATTGGCGACGTTCGCTTGCGCCCCCCTGCCAGTTCGGCGTACCCCTCACGCGTTTCGCGGCCCTATACGGAGCTCGACCGAAAGCCCCAGTGGCAACTTCGCATGGCGGCCCCGCTCCATTTCGGCACATCCCTCACACGTTTCGTGGCCCCATATGGAGCGACTCCGCAGATCCCATGCCCGCATCCCCCATGTCGGCACACCATTTACACGCTTCATGGCCACATAAGGAGATCCACCGAAGGCGATACCCACGAAGGCGATACTCACAAGTGCATATGGTTGGGCCCTTCGCCAAGATAACTGTCTTCCAGCATGCCGAGAGGGATGCTCCTTCCCCTCCTGACGCGGTGTGGCTGGATCTCCAAGACGCCCTCCACACGCGACCGGGCGCCTGGTGCTGCCTGGCCTGGGGGGGGGACGGGGGCGCCACCGTGCCCACGCCGACGGGCCTCGAGTACTTGCGGCGGCTGGCTGGCAAATGGTCCAAGGCTGGAGGCCGTGCTGCAGTCGGCCGTTCAGCCTTTCCCCGTCGACGAAGGGAGGGTAGCCTCAAAGCAGCCGCGTCGCCTGCCGCCAGCCGCGGCGGCCTCCCTTCAGCCACCAGTATCATCCTCTTCCTCTTCTCCTTCTCCCTCTTCCTCTTAATCTCAATCGCATTACTCCTCGTCCTCCTCCTGCTTCCTCCACCTCGTCTCCGGCGACTCCCATTCCCCACCTCCTCCTCCCTCTCCCTCTCCGACGACGGCGTCGACGACAACGCAAGGTCATCGTGCCACCTGGGACGCCAGAGTGCCTGCTGCCGTCCGGAGCGCCCACCAGCGTGATCACGTTGGTGTCTGGGGGGCGGGCTCTGACAGCCCTAGTCCGCCCTTGTCATCCCTCGCCTTCCGTTTCCTCCCTCCTCCTCCAACCTCCTCCTCTTCCTCCCTGCCCTCCTCATCCTCATGACCACCACCACCACCACCACCATCACCATCACCATCATCCCACCATCAGCATCAGCATCATCATCCTCATCAGCAGCAGCATCACCAACATCATAGTCATCATCATCATCATCATCATCATCATCATCATCATCATCATCATCATCATCATCATCACCATCAGCATCACCATCACCAACATAATCATCATCACCATCATCATCATCAGCATCATCAGCATCAGCATCATCATCAGCAGCATCAGCATCATCATGAGCATCATCACCATCATCGTCATCAGAATCATCAACACCATCATGTTCAGCATCATCATCATCGACAGCATCAGCATCAGCATCAACAACAGCCGCATAAGCTCAAGCATCTTCATCATCAGCATCATCACCACCATCATCATCAACAACATGATCCTAACCATCACCGTCAGCAGCATCAGCATCATAGCCGTATTCATCCATCGTCAACAACATCAACACAAACATCAACATCATCATCAACATCAACGGCATGACCATCCGTATCATCATCAGGAGCATCCTCGACATCAGCATCCTCGACATCATCTAACTCAAGAGCATCATCATCGTCAGCAGTATCAGCATCATCATCAACAGCATCATCATACACTTTAGCATCAGCAGAATTAGCATCATGATCATCGTCATCATCAACATGATCTCCATTCAACCTAAGAAGCAGCATCATCATCAGCATCAGCATTACCATCACAATCATGAACACCATCGGCAGTCTATGAATACTCAGCCTCACCATCACAAGCAACATCACCATCATGGTTATCGTCATCATAATGAAATTCGTCATCATCGTCACCAGCATCATCGTCGAACTCAACTTCCATGACCCCTACCATCAACAAAACAGACGGCACCATCAGTATCATCATCATCAGCAACACCATCACTAGAACCATAATCAGTATCATCATCAATATCATCACTATCATCATCATCAGCAGCAGCATCAGCATCATCAGCATCCTCCACATCATCATAGCTTGAGCGGCATCATCATCACCAGCATCAAAACCAGCATCATCATCAGCGGCATCGTCATCAGCATCCCTCAGCATAATTATAATCAGCAACATCTATGTCATCTGCATCAGCATCATATACTCCTCAGCATCAGCAGCATTAGCAACATCATCATCAACAGCGTCAACATCAACATCACACTCACCATCGCCGTCAACCGCCTAATCAGCATCATCCTCAGCATGAGCATCATCATCAGCATTATCAGTATCATCATCATCCGAATCAACATCATCATCATCATCCGATTCAACATCATCAGCATCATCAGCATCATCAACATAATCGTCATCAACATTATCAGCAACATCATCATCATCATCAGCATCAGCAGCATCATCAGCATCATCACCAACATCACCAGCACCACCTGTACAAACACCAGCACCATCACACGTTCCATGTGCTTACTCAAAATCATCATCATCATCAGCAGCAGCAGCAGCATCAGCAAACTCAGATTCCATGACCCCCACCATCATCACAACAGGCAGCAACACCATCATCGCCACCACTAGCACCATACTCAACATCGTCATTAACATCATCAGCATCGTCATTCGCGTCATCATCCTCATCAGCACCACCACCCTCATCTTCATCATCATCAGCATCCTCCTCATCATCATCACCAACCACCATCACCGACAACATCCCCACCATCATATAATCATCATCACCTACCCGCACGGTTATCGGAATCGCAATTTCTCTGCAACAGCCACGACTGCGCCTCCACACACACACACACACACATACACACACACGCCTGCATTAGACAGAGCCTCGCCTCGTCGCAAATCCTAGATGTGTCCGCTGAGCCGTGTGCGCGGTTCGCCTGATGTCCATCCACCATGTACGACCCAAAGCTCATTCGGTTCCCAATTGCCACACTGATAGATTGACTGTCGCCGCATTGCCGCGCGCATTCGTCATAAAACATTGCAGTATGATGGATGGGTTGTGCCTTTCAGCGTGTGGTCGCGGCCTGAGCGCGGCTCCCGTTCGTCGCAAAGGCTCCCAGCATGTTAGTCCGAGGGCGGTGTCGCTTCAACATAGAACGCTCGCTTGACATGGCTTCACAACTACTGCCCTATGTGCGAACTCTTTCACACTTTACATGGAGGAAGGGCAGCTCATGCTCAAAACGGAGCTCTCGGTATACGCGTCCGTCAACTGGTGTGGTCCCAACTCGTTCCTCAGCACAATCACTTATCAAAACGGAGTTCTCGCCTGAACGACAGGTCCGCGGGGCACTCGCCTTTCAACGAAGGTGCCCCCCACCACGAAAAGGAATGCATGTAGGGACTTATGAGAAGGGGACTTGGAACGGGAGGGTGTGCTACAGAATCGGTGATGCATCCTGGGCTTCCTCTGGCCACCTTCATATCCTCATCATGATCCGCATCCCCACGTCGTCACCATCGTCGTCGGCCTCCTCCTCCTCCTCGTCCTCCTCCTCCTCGTCCTCCTCCTCCTCCTGCTCCTCCTCCTCTCCCCATCATCCTCCTCGCCCTCCCCCATCGTCTCTTCCTTGATGATCATTCCTCATAGCATCCCCCCTACCACCCACTGTGTCCTCCTCCTCCTCCTCCTCCTCCGCCTCCCCATCCCCATCATCCTCCTATTCGTGTCCCGCGTTCCCCTTGCGCCACTCCCCGTCCCTCTCCCCCTGCTGTTCATACCCATCATCTGTCCCCCCTCTCCCCACCTCGCTCCCATGATACGCCACCCAGTCCTCCGCTTCTTTTTTCGCATCTTCCTCCTCAGCCCACGCACCGCCCGCTGGGTCAGACAGGACCGTGGCCGAATTATCGCGAATTGTCAAACTCAGGGCTCCATGTAGTTTTCACCACGTTGCTTGCATCGCATAGCTTACACCATGTAGCTTGCACCGCGTATTCCACGACACATAGCTTGCACCACATTGCTTGCATGGCATCGCCTACACTACATACGTTGCACTACACAGCTTACACCTCGCAGCTTGCATCACATAGTCGACACATCCTCTGAGCAATAACGTCTCGTGTTTGGGTCCACACTGGCAAACACAGCTTGTCTAGACAGGTAACGCCAGTCGCGTCGTCCCCTGGCGGGTCGTTCGGGGATGCCTAGGCGCGGGTCCTTCCACTCGTTTCTTCCCTTTCCCTCCATCCTGCTGGTTCTGCTTGGAGGAAGGAGATGAAATGATTAATCGCTCTCGCCGTCGCAGATTGTGATGGCCAAGAGCGTTGCGACTGATGGGCGGCCGACGCGCTTCTCTCCGCACGCGACTCCCAGTCATAAATCTGATGATAAACGCAGCAATGGGACTACCCGGCGCAACGGCGGAATCAGGGTAGAAAAAGTCTTGGTCGCGAGAACCCAGCCGTTCTTCAGAGGCGAGCTGAGGCCTCTGAAACTCAAGCAGGGCGAGTTCGGCTTCAGGGCCCGCCCCCCCTTCACGCAAACCTGGAGGTGCCCAGAAGGTTCTCGAGGTTGCCAGAGGGGAATGGCCACGACGTACGAGGATGAAGGGATGGGGAGACGGAGGAAAATGAACAGGAAGAGGAGGAGGAGGAGGAGGAGGAGGAGGAGGAGGAGGAGGGGGCCCCCGGGTCACGTCACGATCCGTGCCGGCACTGTCTGGGAATTAACCGTGCTTACACATTCCCCGACGGACTCGGCGCGAATCGTGCCGTGACTGGTTTCCGCCCCCCCCCCCGACGTGTCGGTCACGCCCGTTATCGCCAAGGGATACAGAACGGTGTCATGCTACACGCTGTGCGATGGAAAATGATCCCAGGTCGAGGGCCCACGGCAACAGCCCCCCAGATGGGATGGGGGGGGGCGACGACGACGACGACGACGACGACGACGACGACGACGACGACGACGACGGCGGCGGCGGCGGCGACGGCGACGGCGACGGCGACGGCGACGGTGACGGCGACGGCGACGGCGACGACGACGACGACGACGACGACGACGGCGGCGACGACGACGACGACGGCGACGACGACGACGACGACCACGACGACGACGGCGACGGCGACGGCGACGACGGCGACGACGGCGGCGACGACGACAGCGACGACAACGGCAACGAAGGCGGCGGCGACGACGGCGACGACGACGACGACGGCGACGACGACGACGGCGGCGCCGACATCCTGAGCCCTCCGACGACGACGACGGTGGCGGCGACGACGACGACCTGGTGAGCCCTCCTGGAGCATCAAAGTACCACGCCACACACGCCACACGCACCATACAACAACACACCCACAGGGGGGAGGGGGGGACCATCGTGGGGGGGGGCGATGCCATCAGCATGATGGTTTTGAGGGGGGGACCCGGACCTGGATCAGATATGGGGTGTAAACTCTGAGGTGTAAGCAATGTAGTGCAAGCTGCGTGGCACAAGCCATAGAGTGCGAGATGTGTAATACAAAGGATGTGTATAGAGGCCTCCTAGATGGGGTCGGAGCTGATGGGGTCGGAGGATCGCGCCGCATCGCCGATACATCATGGACGTATCGGCGATGCATCGGCGATGTATCGGCGATGCACCAGCGATGCATCGGCGACGTCGGCGACACATCGGCGCAGTCGGCGTGGAGAGAACCGGGCTCCACATCGAGCCGCATCGCCGATAGATCGGCGATGCGGCGCGATACTCCGACCCCATTTACTCCGACCCCATCTAGGAGGCAAATCGGCGGCGACGATAGGTGCGAATAGCCCAGGGGCGGGCATTACACGTACTCGCCCGGGAGCCTTTTCGAAGACACGGATCATCGGCGCACCTGAATACATGGATTGCTCTCCCCTGGGCTGCTCGCCCCT